TGGCTTCATTCAAAATTGAAAGTTAACGATCCGGAAAGTATCCGTGTGACTTAGATACGGGAGCCGCGCGTGTCCTATTTCCGCGAGATAAGAAAGTAGTACGTTGCAAAAGGCAGCGGTAATCCTTGATTTATAGCGTACAGTAACCGCAGTATCCTCGCGCCTGTAAGGCTTTTGATCAATTTTTATCCGGGAACAGACGGCCAACGAACATACTTAAAATTGGCATTGTACACACATATAATACCCGCGTATAATACACTTTCGTTGTACAATTTTGTCGCGTGATTTTTACAAAGGAAGAATCGTATATTCTTATAAAGATGCGATAATAGACATAACGTTTCACACTAGCATGAAAGTGCGAGATTTCCGCGCGTCCGGAATACAGTCGTCTTTTATCAGACTTCCGGTGTTTCATACAACTTCATTCTTCCTGCTTGGACGCTGTGAGCAAAGAGAAGCAGTACCAGCTCGTGCGCATTTACATAACGATCATAAAAAGACGAAGTTAAATACGTTTCTATTATTTTCTTTTTTATATAATAAGAGATTTGTTGTTTATTTTATTATGTTTTTTACGGAAAAGAAAATTTTATTTATATTATTTTTCAGTTGCACAATTTTTGCCGTTAAACAGACAATGAGAATTATTATTTATGTAGATGAAAGAAAGAGATTACTTAAATGTCATAAATATTCTCAGGTATCGACATCTCCATTCTGTTTTTTTTCTGTAAAAAAAAATAAAGAGAATAAAACGAGATATTCGCAATCTAATTGTCAATTCTGTCTCTGTTGCAGCCACAAGATAAAGGGCGGTACATTCTCGAATATGTGTGCAAGCAGCTCAACATCTTGGAAATGGATTACTTCGGGCTTCGCTACGTCGATAAAGAAAGGGAAAGGGTGAGTGCATTTACGCATGGACAATGAACTTAGGAAAAGGTAGCTTCCAAGTACGTCACGCTTTCGATTTCTCGCGTGTCGATATTTCTCGGATATTTCCGCGCGCGAGACATCCCGCCTCTTCGATGTGGAGCTCTTATTTAATCACCACGTGCTGCGCGTAAAAAAAAATGTATATATGTATATCGCGTTGGAAAATTCGAACGCTCGAAGGATTGGCAGTCGTGTAACACGGAAACGTCTTTGTGTCGCGCCATTAAATTCGCTCTGCTGACACCCGGAGCGGTATAGCATATGCGCCGTACTCCACCGTAATCGTTATTCTTAGGTCATACGTGTAATTCTGGAAGACTTAAAAATAGGCGTGCCTTGAAATACCGACGATTCATTGTAGTAAACTCGTGCTATCCGTGTCCGCGCGCACGAACGGCAACTATCATTTATCCCGCCTCTGCGTCCGTCGCATCTTAAATTAAATCTTTCGTGGGCGAGTTTGTATCTTCAAAAAAACGTGTCAGCACATTCATAACAGGTGCAGCGTACCGGTGGTACATGATAGCCGTAACTGTCGGTCGTTACTTTAACGACTGCACCGCGAATCTCGTTTGAAAAAGATTTATCAGCGGTCTCGAAGTAATATTCGCATCGTGCACACCGCGCAACGATGCAATTTAGCGTATTGATTTCCGGGATTCCACGGCCAGGGAAATACGTAAATTTAATTATGCCTTATAAACGTCACTGCGAAGACTCGCAAATGTCGAATGTGTCAATATATTTGCCGCGCACCGTTTTCTTCGGATCGCGGATCTCAGCGCTCTCTCTCGCATTCAAATTAATGACAATTCGAATAGATAGTAGTTGATTAGTCGCCATTCATTTTCTCGCACACGCTCTCGGGGCTAGATTATTACATTTTAATTCAGTTAAGTCAATTTCCGGATACTTTGACGATTTTTTATTGGTTTTTTCGAACAATTAATCGCGTAGCGTGTTCTCGAAAGCGGACATGCATTTTCACTTAAATTCAAGTGGGCAAATGAGTGCACCGGGAAATGCAGTCGATCTTAATTTCAGCTCCAGAAGATTTAATTCGCATGAAGCCGCATTAATTCTAATCAATCCGAAAGAGTTACATCTTCGCGGATGTTAAACCACGATAATCATCCTTCCTGCATACAAATCATCGTTAACAATAATTCCCCAGTGTTTCGTAACGAGATACACAATTTTAATTTTTCGTAGCAAGATATATGTACAAATTTAAATTTTCGTAGCAAAACTGGAATTACATTTTGCAATTTAATCTAGGAAATAAAACCGGATGAATGTATACGAAATGTTGAAATTATGTTTATCAAGACGGACAAGAAACATCAAGCTTCCTCAATCTCGATGCAATTTTGCCAGCAGCATTTGTCGGTCTTTTTTTAAAGCCTCGATGAAATCGATATCGGACATCCGTTCCGTCTTCTTCAAAAATTAACGCGCCCTACCCTGAGACGTAGCTTCCGTTATTCTTCCGGCTCGTAGTTCAGCTCGAGAGATTTTAAGCGAAAATTGTAAAGAAACCTTTTTACTTGCGCTTTTGCGCAATGCGACAACCTCTGATATTTGAACAATTTTTGATTATTACACTTCGTAAGTAACGATAAACGGGGCGGATGCTGCTTATAAATCTCTCGGGGGTGATAAATTATATCGCGCATTATATCGACTGTTATTACATCCCCGTGCGGAGCCTGCCGAATCCTCTCTATTCATTCCCTAAAGGTGTCCATTGTAACGACGGGCTTAAAGAGATATATGGTTAATGATATTCGGCTCACTTTATCTCTCCTCGGAACCGATCTGCTGAACAGTCTGCCGGATAAACCCCGATGCCGGCCGATTTTTCATCCGGCACAAATTTATCGCGCTAATCGTGAAGTCGCGCGACTCGAAACTGCAAAGTCGTAAAAAGTGAAAAGTGCATTTCGCATATGCGATAAAATTTACAAGCGGCGTCGCGCGGCTTGCGCTCTCATATTAGCGCGATCAACGCGCGGGTCACTTTTAACGAGTGTTTACATCGAGCTTGCTGAACAGTATTAAAACAGATGCGCAGCCTCGTCGGCGTAATTTCCAACGGTAAATAACTCCTCGTGCGCGCGATCGTGTGCGGTCTGATTGCTGATGATACAGTATCGCCAGATGCTCGTTTTACAACACAAACTTCACGTTTTGAGTCTTCGCATCGCGCTCTCCCACAGAACGGCTACCTCTGTGGATCGGTGGCACCCGTGTAACGCTACTTCAACAGCGCGAGAGATAAGTAAACAGCGCGCGAGATGTGATTTTAACTGTCTCAAATTCGCGCTCCGATCCGAATAAGTAAACATGAATATTTATCAATAAACAAACATTTATCAAGTGGACTCCATTAAATAAATTTCGATTAAATTCCAAACTGCGCCCCATTAAATATTCATGGAATATTTATTAATTGTACTCCGCGCGCGATGAGCGCGAGCACAAGCCCGCGGCAATTTGCGAATAAATATATTAGTATTTTTAATGGATATTCACGCATAATGACGCTTTAACGGCACACAATTTATGAATGTATCGCAAGTTCGTTACGTATATTACAGTTGGAATATTTTCCTTTGTTTTGCAGCATTGGCTGGACTTAGCGAAAACGGCGATCAAGCAGGTAAAAGGTCAGTATACTCAAATCTTGACAAATGTTTTCCACTCGGCAAGATGCGACGCGGATATGTCAAAACATATAAAAAATCGGGTATACACAGCGCGACAGCTGTGCTACACGTTGTACTACTTTCGACATGGATTTTTTCGCGCAAACTGTCGCTTTATGTTTGTTCGTGCTTGTTTTTCACGAGGAAGCGCACATAGAAGCATTTTCCTACGAGGTGTGCTCGCGCCGCATGTCGGTCATTTCTCCGTTTCTCTGCCCCGCTCGCGGCACGCAATTAACGACGGATACGGTCGCAAAATGTACAAATGAACGGCCGGGCGGACGTTACTTATTATATTACGTTTGTGCGAGCGCGACTCTGCGTCCTGTCGTTACGACGCGGCGCAGCTCCGCGAAAGGCGCTCTATAGCCGCGGTGATGTTGCGCGTGCAGAAGCGCAGGTATCAGCAGCGAACAGCTGTGACCAAGCTGGGACTTCGATCGTCCCGCGTTCGTGCCTCTTTCCTCCCGCATCCAATTACGTCGGGTCGATGTCACATGAAAGTTTCAAGCAGTCGCGACCCGCTGGCCTATTCTCGTAAACTTGGACAAAGCTCCGGGGTAGACCCGTCTCCGAAAGTGTCGGGATTTTCCTTCGCGACACCTAAAAAGATACAGCTGCCGGCGATTCGCAGAATCAATCGCCGCGCAACAGGACGATCGGATCTCTCGCGCCGCGGAGAACAAGATGTTCCCACGCTCGCACCACAGGAACGCGACGATTTTTTTCCCCCTTTTGCGCGCGGCGGAATTAAACGGGTTTAAACGGGAATCGCGAGCTGAATCCGCGCTGAAAATTATTTCTCGACCGTGAACGAGCGTCTTTGTCGTGTACCTGTTGATTTTAATGCCCGCGGACGTAAGAAAGCTTCAACATCGATATTTTCGTGACGCTTAATCGGACGCGTGCTCGCGTACATTTCACAAATTCGCGTGCTTACGCGAACCTTTAAACCCATGATAAGCTTAATCTGGTTTAAATTCGTTTCATATTCTGCGGAAGGTCGAACGCAGAGGTCAATTAGGGAATATCTTATATCTGCCGAAGGCAACGAGCCGTAATGATACCGTATCGAATGGGATCACGACCTCGCGCTATAGAGAGGCGGCGACGTTACATTATCGCCGAGTGTAAAGACCGATTTGCATCGCGATACGCTCGTAAACGTATTTGTGCCAGCTATGTCGCATTTGATATAAAATAACGATCTCGCGCGATCTCCTTTTTATAAACTGAAATGCGATCGGTAATAAATCAAAATTATACGTTGCATGTTTTTTTTCGCAAGATGCATATAAGACGATAATCGTGAGTTCTCCCACAAAATAGAAATCCGCAAATGTCACATACCTCGATGTCATCAGGCTATGCCATTAGTTCGCTAATGCCAGCGCTCGTCGCTTCCGTTTCTGTCTTTGTCCACGTTTTTCTTTACGCATGGAATGTTGACGACTGGTTGCTCGTAATCGCGCGATGTATTTCGTTTTATTATCGCGTGCATCGATCGTCGTTCCGAGAAAAAAGAGGAGATCGATATATATATATTGGTCGATCGCCAAACCAGTTGCGAATGCTGTCGGACTGCTGTAACATAGTAGTTAAAAAAAAGTAGTTAAAAAAAATTATAAAATTACACTTAATTATATTTTATTTTTAAAATGAATTATATCGGTTCACGAGTAGTGTGACATTTTTGTGGCAGAATTTCCTGGAAAAAGTATATGACAATTGTTATTTTGTGACAAGGTTTTTCGAAAGGACAAATGTGAATCTAACAAGCCATAAATCAATGAAATTGAATTTAAATATCGATCAAAGTTTCTTCGGATTTTTCGATAAAAATGAAAGAATAAAATAGTGTTTGCAATCACGATTTCAAATTAAAGTTCAACAAATTTGCGATAGCTAAAATTGTGCAAGACACATTTCGAGATAAACGTTGAGCCGTTTACCGGAAGACACCGAGCTGCAAGTGTTGCGCTTCCTTCGCACATAAAACACACGCGCGCACGTATGATGTAGACGAGGGCACCGGTCTGCAAAAACGTATCCGGCCTGTCACTGCAACTATGTTCCAGATATGCACGAGATTTTGCTTTGCTTTCGCGTGAAATTCTACCCGCCCGATCCTCTGCGACTGAAGGAGGAGATCACGAGGTATCAAGTTTACCAGCAGCTCAAGAGGGACCTTCTTTACGGACGTTTGTGTTGCACCCCCGGCGAGGCGTCGCTGCTGGTGGCCTGCATCGTGCAAAGTAAGTTTACGCTCTCTTATCTTTCGCCGAGATATTTCATTCTCTTCTAAATATAAGGGGAAAGCCGTGTAAAGCTACATTCGTCCGCCGCGATTTCTTTCCTCGCGGACAATTTTGGATGTCTAGACGAAAAGATTTTCAACGATTAAAATAGCGGCTTTAATACACATCCGTGTATTGTCAAATATAGTGCGCTTCTCAACGCGGCTGTCTATTTACGGAATATCTAAGATTCTCTGATCGAAGATCCAAGTCTGGAAAGTAATCCTCCGAAGTCGATGCTCTCTTGCATAAATATACGAATTTCAGCCTTTTGTTTCTCCCGGTATAATTGGGAAGCGCATAACGGTCCAACCGATGATTCGCCACTTTCCATCGTAACCGATCGTGACTCGGTCGTATTAAGACTTCGGTCGTCGACCATCAATTCCTAGACCGTTCACCTTTCAAGCGAACCGTATCGTGACTATAACTGCAAAAAGCACCGCTGAATCTTTTTACCGGTTTTGACGGTCTCATAACCGAGCATAATCACCGTGCTTTCTCCCTAATTGTTTATAAGCACGATAAAGCAAGTCTTTTATGCAGATTTCTCGCGCGTTTCACAGAATAAGTAGCGCTGGTTCATGGCGCTCATCAATCGCGGAAGATGGGAAGGAACTGGCGCAGTCTATTTTGATATTTTGCTAGATTTGTTTGCTCGCTCCGCAATTTATCTTCGACGTCCGGTGCGAGCAACGCTCGTTTCTCAATCGCGGACGATTTATAACCGGTCGTCTGCCTGTTGCGATTGAGCGCCGCCTGCGATGAGTACCATTCATTTTTCGCACCGTCCGCCTTTCAGAATCTTAGTTTATATTCGATAATTGCACCCGTGAAACATTTATTTTAACACGAGGAAAATATTGTAGAAAGTTAGGAAATCCTGTGATTTGCGAGAGAGAAAAGTAACGCGCGGCAAGTAATTTCGCGACAATCGACGCTGCGAGATGACGGTCTCCGT